TGTATAGTGGTTAAGATGCTGCTTGGGACAGCTGTATCCATATTGGAGTGTCTGGCTTCAAGTTCTGGCTCTGCTCGAAATTCCAGCTTCCTGCTACTGTGCATCCTGGGAGGTTTGGTGATGGCTCAAGTGCTTGGGTCCCTGCCACCCACATGGGACACTCAGATAGTGTTCCTGGCTTCTGACTTCAACCTGGCCCAGCCCCAGCTGCTGTAGCCATTTGGGAAGTAAACCAATGAGTGGGAGTGCTCTCTCTCTCTCTCTTTATCTCATGGGACTGAGACATTGCAGTGGAAACTGACCAGAAGAAAAAAAACTACAGTATTTATTCTCGGGCCCTTTTAGAGAAAGGTTGCTGACCCTTGTCCTAGAGAGACCAAGTAAGACATGGGCTCCTCCCAAGAAGGTGGCCATGGCCTCCCTGGTTGGTGGCCAGGTCCTTTCATCTTGGAGAGTGTGAGGGTGCAGAGAATAGCATCCCATAGAAAGACCTCACTGAGAGCAAAGCCGGGTGGACCCACCCGCTTCCAGCCACTACCCACAGCACCTTACCTTCATGGTCGCCTCCCAGGACTGCCAAGCAGCACGACCTCTATTATTGTTATCTTACAGGTGAAGAAGCTCAGGCCCAGAGGCACACGAGTCACCCAAGGCCACACTGGGAGGTACTGCATGGGCCGCAACTCCTGTTCCTGTTCTAAGATGCTGCTTCTTTGAAAGGCAGAGCGACAGAGAGAGACAGAGAAAGAGAGATCCTTCATCCGCTGGTTCTCTCCCCAAATGGCTGCAGTGGGTGGCAGGGGCCTGAGCCATTCCCTGCTGCTTTCCCAGGTGCTTTAGCGATGAACTGGATCAAAAGCAGAGTGGCCAGGACTCAAATCTGCTCTGCTATGTGATGCTGGCATCACAGGCAATGGCTTAACCCAATGAACCACAACACTTCTGAGTCCAAGCTTAGGCACGCCTCTGTGCTACCTGCCATAAAGGCCCAACAGGTGGTTGTTGTGAAAACAGTGGCTACCCAGGACATCAGAGACTTTGTGAGAAAGCTGCCCTTGGGGTAGAAGAGCCAGCTCCTAGGAAACCAGATTCCCAAGGCCTCTGGCACAGGATGGGACAGGGCACGGGACGGGGCTTTCTTCAGGGCATACAATGCAAGCCACCCAGAGTACCCAGAGGCTGGGCGACCTGGAACCCTGGAACATTTGAAACACTGCTCCCATCCACCCCCCATGGACCCTGAAGCTCTGTGTTGGGATTTTAAACACCAGAAATCCAAGATAGTTTGTTCCAGCGCTGCAGATTAAGACACATTGCAGGATAAGCCCGCCTCTCGCGTCCTCTGATTTAAAGGGATCAAGTGTCAGAGAATTCTCCCCTCCAGGACCAAGTGCAGGAACTGACTCAATTTCACACTGTCAGGGTAACAAAACTTTAGGGAAACAAGAGACAGTGTGTGGGAGGCCTGTAGTTATTAGAAAAGGCACAAGATTGTTCCCTTTTTGCTGGAAACAAAACAAAGATTATGTTTCAGGGAAATTAATCCGGAGTTCAAATATGACAGCAAACACGCCTGGGTCACTTCCTGTTGACACAGGAAGAAAAGCTTCTGGCTTGTCTTCGGGAACTCCCTCCACAAAATCAGGAGGTCGCTAGTTCACACGGTCGGTAGAAGGGAAAAAGAGACACTCAGGTCACACGGGTGATTTGGTGATTTGGCTTTGCCTGAAATTTTCCAATTTTACTTTGTTCTGTTTGCAGATACTCTGATGATTCCAGCTTTGAGCAAGGAAAACAGCAAGTTCCTCTCGTGCGCTGTCCCTGTGGCCCTCAGACGGTGACCAGCAGGGTCCCCAGTGCACATCAGGGACCTGCTGTTACGGGAAAACAGCACCGGAGAAACTGTTGTTACCTCGGTTCTTTGTCTCACGTGGAAGAAGGGTTTCCAGGCAGACAGCAGAGAGATTTACAAAGATTTATTAGAGTCAAAGACCTCCAGCCAGAGTAACATGGAGAGGGGCTTCCAAGAGAGGAAAACACCCAAAAGGGACTGGTGGTAGTGGTTTTTAAGTACAATTTCTTAGGAAAAAACTCGACAATCAGATTGGCATTTAGTTACCAGGCGGGGACAAAACCCTGATTCACAATTCTCCATCCTGTCTGGCCTGCTCATGATAAAACAAAGACCTCCAGAAGGGTGGGATAGGTAACTTGTTCTCACCAAAGGCCGTGAGCTCGGGGAGAGCTCCCCCACTACTCTCATGGTACATTTACAGATTCTGAAAGAAGCAGGGGGGCCTGTTTGTTCTCGCTAAAGATAAGGAAGCAAATATTTTACACCCCAAACTCCGCTGGGACCACCCTGACAACTGTTAACCCATCTGACTCCTCACACTGCTGTGCCACCATCGCTGTCTCCAGCCTAGAGGACTCTCCCCCTCCCCCGGAGATTTCTGCTCCATCACCTTGCCCCATTCTTTTCCATACTTATCATCAACTGAAATTAATTTCCTTATTCTTTCAACCTTGACCTGAATATATACTTTTTTTTAATTTATTTATTTATTTATTTATTTATTTTATTTGACAGGTAGAGTTATAGACAGAGAGAGACAGAGAGAAAGGTTTTCCTTCCATTGATTCACTCCCCAAATGGCCGCCATGGCTGGCGCTGCACTGATCCGAAGCCAGGAGCCAGGTGCTTCCTCCTGGTCTCCCATGAGGGTGCAGGGCCCAAGCACTTGGGCCATCCTCCACTGCCTTCCCAGGCCACAGTGGAGAGCTGGACTGGAAGAGAAGCAACCGGGACTAGAACCCGGCACCCATATGGGATGCCGGCACCGCAGGTGGAGAATTAACCAATTGAGCCACAGCGCCAGCCCCAAATATATACTTTTTAGGAGCCAAATTCATGCCTGTTTCCTTCATTCCTGTATCACCAACATCTGACCCACAGCAGACCTTCAATGAATAGTCGATGCGTAGCAATTTAGTGTTCAAAAACAAACTGAAGTGTGCTTAAATTTTCACCATACTTTTGGTTTTTCATATCCAGTTGTTCTTTTCACATTGACCTCGCCTTGCTATCTGTGGCATCCTGGTGATAAATTGCGCAACTGTCATTCTAATCAAGTGATCCGCCTTTTGTTAATTCCACCCAACATAAACTTATCAAAGGCCAAGCTAGTGCCAGGCATCTTTGCCAGGGATTCACTGGTAAGCAAATCAGAATTCTGGTCCTCTCAGTGCTGTGGTGTATCAGATAAAGCTGCAGCCTGCAGTGCTGGGTGCCCACATGGATGCTGGTTCAAGTCCCAGCTGTTCCACTTCTGATCCAGCTCCCTGCTAATGTGCCTGAGAAAGCAGCAAAAGATGGTCCAAGCACTTGGGCCCCTGCACCCATGTAGGAGACCTAGAAGAAGCTCCTGGCTCCTGACTTTGGACTGGCCCAGCTCCTGCCATTGCAGATATCTGGGGAGTGAACGAGGGTGGAAGACCTCTCTCTCTGTCTACCTCATTCTCTCTTTCTCCCTCAATAACTCTGCCTTTCAAATAAATAAATCTTAAAAAAAAAAAAAAAAAAGAATGCTGGCCTTATATGCTTTCAGCCTCAGGTAGTACATGCCTTGCCCTTTATGACCTTGAGAAGCCCTGTGAAGGACAAATACATACAGGGCTACAGAGGATGTGACGTTTGGCCCTAGCTCTGAAATAGGCATAAACTAGGGCTGCTAACCAACTTAACTTATTCAAGAGTGCTTAAGATTAGAGTTAAGAACAGAGTTGGTGTTGGAGGAAATATTAGGGGAAAGATTGGGTAAAGTTGGAAAAAAAATCTATAGAAAAAGAGGCTAGCATGTGCATCTATTATAGGCATCAGGTAGATGTTGATGGGGCGGTGGGGGGAGGGAGTTGATGGCCTCCTGAAGCCAGGTAGAGACAAAACAAGCAGAGAAAGGAAGATTAATTGGGAGTTATTTGGACAGAAAAGTGACAAGACTTGGTGAGTTGGCCCAGCGAGTGGCCAGAGCACTGACTTTGACCTTCTCCTGGGCTGCAACCTGGCATCCAGAGACAGGAGCAGCCACTGAGCAGCCCGGGTGCATGTGCCAAATAGAGGTGGGGTCTGAGCAGGCAGCGCAGGGCAGCACGTGCCTCCGTGGGCAGCAGCAGTTCAGGCCTGCGTCTTACACTCAGGTCTGGAGGATTCCTGGAGCCTGGGCATGGATTTCTGTGAGCACTTGGGTGTTTACAGGAGCTCATGATCAAGCCCATTAAAGAGATCAATTGTGTCCGTGAGTACCCGCCCTTAATAGGTAACTGCTGCTTCCCATAGCCCTACCTGCAGTGGGTGTAGCTACAGAAGGAACACAAGAACCGGTTGTCCCGAAATATGAGCATCATGGGTTTTTCCTCCCCCTCGATCAAAGAAAGACTCCAATGAAAGGGGAAAAAATAATTTAAAAAGCGAAAGCCTTATGTAATGAGATTTAAAGGAAAACTTTTGAAGCCAACAAGCAACTGTGGGCGACACTTCAAAGCACCCAGAATCAATGTTTGTCAATAGCAGTTTTGCATCCTTTAATTTATCTTTCATGAATATAAAGTGTGATGTTATTAGGAGCCATCCATGCCTTAATTCTGTTTGAGATTTGATGAATCAGAAATCTATTAATATTCTGTGTGGATCAGCAAGGGCAGGGCCTGTGGCCGAAGTTCCACCGGAGCTGGGCCCTTTCATCCTGTCACTGTCGTGACCCCAACAGGCATTCTGCTGTGAACCTCCGCACCTCCCAGGAGCCAGGAGCCGGGAGCCAGGAGCCAGCGAGCTCTTCATGTCCACCACTCTCTTTGGAGATTCTTCTCCCCGAAGAGAAAACATTCTGTGACTCAGCCCATCCCTAAAGTTAGCCTTTGTTTAATCAAGATAGCTGGTTTGCAACACATTAAACATTAAACAGTATTTGATGCCTAGTTAATAATTTGCATCCTCTTCATTGGTTCCTGAATCCTTGGAGATTGGCATTTCCCCCCCTCAAGGCAAAGACAACAAAAGCAGTTGTATTGAGAATCAAACTCAGGTCTTCAGCCTCCAGGGATGTGTGCCAAAATGTTTCCTCTGCACCTTCTACTGTTAATGGTTCTGGTGGGAAAGACGTCCATCGGGGTAAGTGTCCTTTTCAAATCCCACTAGCTGAGCGACCCTGCGGTTACTGGGAGGACCGGGCCAGCAGGGCTGGGAGTGACCAGAGATGTTAGTTGAGAAAGGCCGATGTTGCCAGTTGACTATGTCCGGATCCAAGAGTTCACAGAGGAGGTGGCATTGGCCACTTTGGAGCAGCCACGTCCATGGCGACCAGCAACTGAGCTGAGCAGAGCCTCCGAGAATGTGTGCTGACAACAGATACAGGGGCAAGAAAATCGGTGAAGGCACAGGTTGTGATCTGGCGTGGACCTTAGAGACCCCTGGAGAGGCCCTTGACCGCTACACACTCTCTCCTGATAAAAATAGACCGGCATGCCGGCAGGCACTAGGGGTTTCAGTCCTTGGGGCTGACACTAGGGTAAGGACTCCTGTGCTCTGGCCCTAGATCTTGGCAATGGGTTTACTTAGATGGAGTGCATTTGGAGAGAAGCTTTGGGTTAGGACTGGCTGTCTTTTTTCCCATGACCACAGTGGGTGGGGCAGAGAGGTGAGCAGGGGATGGAGGGAGGTTGTGGTGAGCGGGCAAGGGCAGTGCCATCAGAGGGGCTTCAGATGGGGGACTCAGAACCTTTGGCAGGGGACAGGGGCCGGTTCTTGAGTTGTCGCTCCTGCTGTGTACTGTTGCGGTCCCAGACGGTCAGCTGGATCTCCGCGGCCATGGGAAAGAAAGCCTCCCGCAGGACAGGGCCTCCTGGGAGCTCCCTACCGGATGTGGGCAGGAGCGCAAGTGTGGGTTTCGGAGCCAGGGTTCACATCCCAGCTTTGCCACACTCCAGCTGCGGAATGTTGAGCTGCTAATATAACCCCTCCGAGCCCCAGCAGTCTCTTCGGGTTGTGCGTGTGTCTTTCCATAAATGTGAGCTTTTTTCCCCTTGCAATTTCCAGAGTGAACACAACTTCTCTATAAAAATCGGAGCGTGCGCCCCCTTGTCGGGGAGGGGAGCTGGAGAGAGACAGGGGTGGGACGGCGGGGACAGGGACAGTCTTGACCCCTTTATCAAGAGCCTCTGCACTTCACTTCCTAACTCAGTCCATAGAGCAGTTTCTGAAGGAAGCCGACCGACAGGTTTTCTGATGAGCGTATTTTGAGAACAGCAGCTTCTGCCCCCTTTTGGGTGACCTGGGCTCCCACACCTATCTTAGCCCCAGATTCATCTGCCAAGCGGCCCACCTTGAGGAAGGGGTTTCTTTGCGAATTATGCCGTGTGTGTGTGTGTGTGTGTGTGTGTGGTGGCTGCAATGACAGGCCGCTCTCTGGCCCCCTCCCCTGTGCTATTGGACTGCGTGTTGGACGTCTGGAGCCGAGACACAGCAGCAGTGCCCCAGGTCTAAGGGGAGGCGGTAGAAATTCTGAGAGGCCACGAAAAGCCCAGAGAATGTGCCAATCGGAAGCAATTACAGCCCAGAGTTTACAGGCAAAGAGAAGGGTTGACACAGTCTGTTTGAAGTTCACAAAAGGATAACGGTCCCCCCAAAAATTCCCTCTTCTGCAAGCCCCAGTGAATTTTTAGGGTTAGCAATGAAATTATAAGTCAATAATAGATAAAAGAGCAACTAGGAGAGAGAGAGCCTTCAGGCAGTGAGCTTAGTCAGTTCCAAAGAGAGGACTCGGGGCTTTGGAATGGTTTTCACCCCAGATGTGTGTAGACAGGTGGCCGGGAGGGTGGCCCGCGTTCCATGGGCTGGCACGTGGGCAGCCAGTGCACGGTGGCCACGTGGTCCAGATGCTTTGGAGAGTCTGGGGCGTTGTCAGCAGGGAGAGAAGCCACACAACAGATGGGCCAGGAGGCCTCCCGGTCCCACGCAGCTAGAGAGAATCACCGACTTGCCACCAGTTAAGGAGGTGCCGGGCCCCGAGCTTCCTATGGTTTGGTTCATCTGGGAGAAAGATCCCAGGAAGGCCGAGGCAGAAAACTGTGCCCCCAGACATGTGACTGGGCAGCGTCAGGGCCGAGCCTTGGACGACAGGCTGGTGTCTGGCTAGAGCAGGACCCCCGTGGGAGGGCTGTGGCTGAGGATGCCGTCTCTTCTGTCCACCTTGCTTTGGGGGCGTGGGCCTTCCTGCAGGGACAGGAGCCCCTCAGATCAGGGGTCTGCCTGCTGGATGGTGCATAACGAACTCCACGTGTGCCATCCTGAAAACCAGGACAGCGCCAGGATCTGCGATGGCTCCGTGCTCGCCATCCGTGGGAAAGACACCCGGGGCCTCGCCCATGCATCTGGATCCTGCAGCACACAGTATGAGCCCTCCTCTGGGACCGTCTTTAACCCAGACCTTTATTCTGCTCAGTGCTGGTCAAAGAGACAGAGGCCCATGACCCCCAGGGCGGCTTTCAAGGTGCCTCCTGTTCTGGTCTCGGTGGGGTTTTCCAGACCTATCAGTTGGGAGCACCTGTCCCCAGCACAGCCTGGCATCCTTATCTCTGCCTTCCAGATTAGAAGCAAGCCCAGAGATGTTTGACTTTCCAGCCAGGATAGGACCCTGGCCTGCCCGGCCCCTCGTCCATCACGGGGGAAACATGGACTGCCTTAGACATCTTGCTTGCTCAGGTTTTTACGCTGAGTGCAGCCAGTCTCCGCTGCCATGGAATCTGACCTCTTCTAGGGTCAGAAGCCAGAGGACTCCACTTGTCAGATCCGCCCTGCTTCTCTCCACCTATTCCCAGACAGGAGGGACGACATTGGCTTCTCCTCTCCTCGACAAAATGGGCTTACAATTAAAATGCCCATTTGCTGGCATGTCTAAGCTTTCTTAAACCCAGAGTGGCAAAAATGGTTGCATAGACCAGGGGCTGCAAATGGCAGCTCAGAGAATATCCTGCTCATAGCCAAGCTTTATTTGGCAGGTGGAAGGTCGGCCTGGAGAGCATTTTTGCTTTAATTAGCCTGGCAACAATTGAAATCCAGCACTTTCCGTGTAAAGACCTGCTCTCCGGCTTTTATTGAAAACCAGACATTCCGGCAGCACTGGGCTCATGGTCTTGCAGGACCACTGTCACCACTCCCCACGGGCCTCTCCCCCTGACCGAGTGCATTGTCTGCCTGGGTCCACCTGGGAGAGAGAGAAGGAGAGGGAGGGAGCACTGGTCTAGTCGCTTCCCAGAAACACCATGGACGGGGCAGGACGGAAGGGTGCGAGATCAGGCTCCACTTCTGACGAATCAGGCACCCCAATCTACTGGGCCCCAGCCTTTCATTGAGAGATGAGAGCCACCCTCGAAGCCTTGATGACCCACAATGTCCCTTGCAGGGACAGCAGAGGAGCTGTCCCTCTTGCTGGAACTCACACAGTCTTATGGAAAAGGGAGGGATTGATTTTCACTGTGATTTCTCATAGATTTAAAAAAAAAAAAAAAAAAACACCACTGATCCTACACAGGAGTCCTCCTCATTAGCTTTGTCAGTGCGCGCTGGTATTTAGGGAAATCAGGTCGCAGGATGTCTCGTGTGTGCATAGGCTCAGATGTATTTATATTTTAAATTCATTAGGGTTTCCTAAATGCAAAAGCAATTCTGCTGTCACAGAGAAACAGCATGGCAGAATATTCGGCAGCCGGGATTTTAAATAAAACATGCTTTTTCTTCATAATTAATATAACAAGGTTTCCTGGCTTAAGACTTGGCAAAGATCCCGGGAAAGATGGAGGTGGGGGAGGGGAGGAGATGGCCTGATGTGCCTGTGACCTGACACACGAGTTCTGAGTTCCGGAAGAGTCTGCGCTGGGCTGAGTGAGCTCTCCTGGGGCAGCCCTACTCCCAGGGTGCACTTGGAGATTTGCAACAAACAGACAAAAAAAAAAAAAAACCACTCCAAACTCCCTGATAACAGTAGCTAATAATAGTAACAACACCACCCCTAGCAGTAGAGGGGTGTTAAGGCTTGACCCTACGCATGGAAGGTGTGCTTTCTGTTTGCTATCTTGATTAAGCTTCCCAGAAACTCTGATGTTGGGACCAGGCTCATTCTTGCTTTACAGATAAGAGACTGGAGAAGTTAAATGACCTGCCCAGGAGGGGAGCCCTGGGAAGTTAAGAGCTTGGACTCACATCCACCTGCCCTATGCCAGCTTTGTGTATGCACCATGGCATAGACCAGCGTGCCAAGCACTGCCCCGGGGACAACCGGACCGTTCAGTGCAGGGTTAGCGGGGCCTCGGCCTCAGACACCAGCTTCCAGCAGAAGGTGAGGTCAAGGTCACTCCCACCTGAAGGCCCCCCCCCCCCCATCAGGTCTTGGCAGGTAGCTAATGATCCAGTTCAGGGTTCTAAAATGTAAGCCGTGAATGAATCCATCTTCAAAAACTCTGCCAATGCCTAAAATGGTTTTATTCTTTCTTTTATTTGAAAAGCAGAGTTACAGAGAGGGGGAGAGCGAGAGCGAGAGCGAGAGCGAGAGAGAGAGAGAGAGAGATCCTCTGTTTGCTGGTTCACTCTCCAAATGGTTGCCACAGCCAGAGCTGGGCCAGATGGAAGCTGGGAGCCAGGAGCTCCATCAGGGTCTCCCACGCGGGTCCAGGGGCCCAAGGACTTGGGCCAGCCTCTGCTGCACGCCCAGGCACATTAGCAGGGAGCTGACCAGGTAGTGGCAGAATCGTCAGGGAGGAAGAGGGGGCTGGGATTACAGTCCCACCCTCTTACCTGCCCCGGGAGATTCCTCTGCTGTCGGTTCACTTGCAGCTGAGCCTCTGGTCCCAAAGGACACATCTCAGCCCCCACCCCCACCCCTACCCCCACCCCTGCCTCCCAGTCCTCTGAAAACATTCTCCATGAGCTAATTCCTGGAACACATGAACTCGAACTTTCAACCTTGGCCTTTTATGCTTTGTTTTCCAGAAGGTTTAGAATTCTGACAGGCAGAGTTAGAATGAGCTGAACGACCAGTGCATGAGAGAGAGGACACAATGCAGGAGACCTCGACCTCCCCCCACCCCCAGCCAGGCCTGGAGACACAGGACCCTGGTCTGCTGCTCCCCGCCCTGGTCACTAGCCTCTCTGATCCCAGGAACACTGGGAGAAGGAGCTGCGGCCAGCTCTGAGGGCAGCCAGCTCAGTTGGCCCCGCCCTGTTTCAGCCCTGCTGGAACTAGGGGCCGAGGTGGGGGCAGGAGTGGGCGGCGGCCTGCGGGCCTTTTGATCTGGATTGAGCTGTTTGCCACAGTGGACAGGCCGAGGCTCGACCGGACTTTCGTGCTTTCCTCTGCTGTCACCGGGGCCAAGTGGCCCTCTCTTGGCCTCACAGGCCTGGGCCAGTCTGGACAGGCCTTCCAGAAGGCTCTGCAGGCACAGGGCCCCCGATTTCTTAATGAAGCTGAACACTCTGCCTCTTTTAGGGCTAGGGAACTCTTCTATTTCTTTCTCCATTTTAAAAAAATTTTTCATTTACTTGGAAGGCCGAGCGGCAGAAAGGAGAGACAGAGAAGGGGAGATCTTTCATGTGCTGGTTCACTGCCCACATGGCTGCAATGACCAGGGCCGAATCAGGCCAAAGCCAGGAGGCAGACACTCCCACATGGATGGCAGGGGCCCCAACACTTGGGCCATCCTCTGCTGCTTTCCCAGGCACATTAGCAAGGAGCTGGACTGTAACCAGGGCAACCAGGACTGGAATCAGTGCTCCAACATGGTGCCAGCCATGGAGGTGGCAGTTGAACCACTATGCCACAATGCTGGCCCTCTTCTCCATTTTTTTGTTACCATGTAGGCCATAGCCCCTCATCCTCACTGCAACAGCGATTAACAGCCAGGACTCAGATGTGAGAGTGGCTATTATAGCCTGCCTCCAGCAGTTACTGCCGAGTTACTCTGGGCAACTTAAGCTCTGCATGCCTCAGTTTTCTCATCTCTAAAATGGGCACAGTCTTGGCACCTAAAGGATCAGATGTTTGTGTGCAGTGAACAAGATGAAACGCATGTAACCCAGCAGCACAGTCCCTCCCTGGTGGTCAGCTCCTCCTGGGTGCTGGGCTGAGACCACGGCCCCTGCCTCCTCCTTGGCATCTCTCTCCTCTTTGGATCTGCAACTCCCAGGAGTCAAAGATCTGTCACTTCCCTGTCTCCCTGGAACAAGCCGAGGACGAAAGGGCGCACACACTGCACTCTGCGCCCGCTGTGTCCGCCAGCACCCGGGTCAGTGCCAGTGGTCCAGATGAGTGACAGAGAACGCGATCTTGGCGTCTTCCATGTGGTCCGCGGATACCCAGCCTGGGGTTCGGCCTGCAGCTCGCACCGCGCACACGGCCTCCCTGCGGCCAGCTGCAGAGAGGCACAAGGCCAGGGCCTGGCTTGGGTCCCTGCGCCCACGCCGCACACCTCGCCACAGCCCCTTCCCGCTCCCCAGAGCCAGCGGAGCCTGAGGGGGCCCGGCCAGCCCGGAAGTTCCGGTGGCTTTTTGTTCCGTCTTCGCCCGGCGCCAGCTCCTCCGAAGGGCACGTCTGCCATCTGCTGGCCGGGAGCAGCACGGCACCTGGCTGTCCATCCCCCAGGCTCCTGCTGGAGCCAGGATTTGGGGCTCCCACCCAGCGCAGGTCCTGGAGAGGCCGGCCCCGCGGGGATCTGAACAAGAATGTCCCCCAAGTCCTCGCTGTCCTGCCGCCCTCTTCTCGGGGCTGGCAGTGGTCCGACGTGGCCCAGCCCACCCAGCTCAAATACCAGAATTCGTGCAGACACTCCAAGGCTGAGTGGAGACCCAGAGGGAGGGACAGGCCCTGCCCCACTGAGAAATCCAAGGAGTGAAGGCAGGGCCCAGCCCCAGGCCCAGCCCCAGCCCCAGGCCCAGGGTTGGGGTGAGAGGGGTCACCTGTGTCCTGTGACCTTCTCACGCCCACCCTGTAGGCCAGATGTGTGGACTTCAGACACACCAGGCCCGGAAACACACACACACACACCCCTAAGGCCTGCCCTGTCCCTCCTCTGCTGGGACCCCCACTGTCCACTCCCGTCATCCCCCTCCCCCACCCTCAATGGAACAGTCCCCACGGAAGCAGGGCTTGGTGCAGAGCACAGTCCCGGGCAACCGCCAGGCTCTCGCTTTTTTTTTTTTTTTTTTTTTTTTTTTCAGCCTTTCCCATTTGCATTTGGTAATTTTTCAAGCTCAGAGACAAGTGGGAATGACGTCTTTACAGGGACGTCTTTGACCCAGGCCACAGTGGTGAACCTTGGCACGTCTGCACCCTCCCACTCTCCCCTGTGCCTGTTGAGCTGTGTCTGTTGGCTGAATCAGTCTGTCTGTCTGTCTGTCTATCTATCTATCTATCTTTTTTTTTTTTTTTTTTTTTTGACAGGCAGAGTGGACAGTGAGAGAGAGAGACAGAGAGAAAGGTCTTCCTTTTTTGCCATTGGTTCACCCTCCAATGGCCGCCATGGCCGGCACGCTGCGGCCAGTGTATCACGCTGATCCGATGGCAGGAGCCAGGTGCCTCTCCTGGTCTCCCATGGGGTGCAGGGCCCAAGCACCTGGGCCATCCTCCACTGCACTCCCTGGCCACAGCAGAGGGCTGGCCTGGAAGAGGGGCAACCGGGACAGAATCCGGCGCCCCGACCGGGACTAGAACCCGGTGTGCCGGCGCCGCTAGGCGGAGGATTAGCCTAGTGAGCCGCGGCGCCGGCCCTATCTATCTATCTATCTGAAAGGCAGAGTTACAGAGACGCAGAGGCAGAGAGAGAGAGAGAGGGAGAGAGAGAGGTCTTCCATCTGCTGGTTCACTCCCCAGATGGCCGCAATGGCCAGAGCTGTGCTGATCCAAAGCCAGGAGCCAGGAGCTTCCTCCGGGTCTCCCACGTGGGTGCAGGGGCCCAAGGACTTGGGCCATAGCAGAGAGCTGGATGGGAAGAGGAGCAGCCGGGACTAGAACCGGCGCCCATATGGGATGCCGGCACGGCAGGCAGCGGCTTCACCTGCTACGCCACGGCGCCGGCCCCTGTCACGTCTCTTACTGAAGAGCAGTCCCCCCTGTTTGTCACTCTCTGGCCATGACCCTTTCAGGGATCTGGGCGGGTTGTGTTCTAGAATGCCCCACCACTCCCAGCTCACAGTGTGAGCAGATTCTGGAGCCGTCTCTCCGAGAACAGTCGACGTGTGCTTAGCGTGTCACGCTAGCGTGCCTTCTTTCTCTGTCTCTCGTTCCTAATTTGTCATCCACCTGCTTTCCAACATCGTCTAAGGAAACCTCCAGGAAAGCGAAAAATTCCAGCCCCTGCTGCCGATGGGGAGAAAGCCGCAGACCCGGTACGGTGGGTGCGGGGAAGGCTGCGGGCGTGAGCCCCAGTTTTCCAGCGGCCGAGAGCGAAAGGGAAACCCACGGAGGAAGACAGCTTGCGTTTTCTGTATCACAGGACAGCGGGCGTCGTTTGGGCAGTGCCAGACGGTCGATTCTTGGAGCTAGCCTTTCTCCGTCCCAGTTATTCTACCATCCGCGGTACCTGAATGCGTGGGCATGACTGTGTTCTAATAAAGCTTTATTTATAAGAACACAAGATCTGGGCTGGGCCCATGGGCCTTTGTTTGCTGGTGCCTGATTTAAGTGGCAGGGGTTGGGGGGAGCCTAGGCCGGTCATTAGATGTGGAACAATTTCCTTTTCGCTGTATTCTATACAATTTCACTGTATTCTAAGAGGAACTATTCAGGTCATTGTTTATTCTGCAAAAGCTTTGAGAGGCATGCCAGGTGTCGGGTCACACCCTAATGACAAAGTCACAAGGTCCCAGAGGGAACAGCGGGGGACTAAGGGGGCTGCAGCTGGGTAGGGAGCGAGGAGGGGGTCAGAAAAGGAGGCTAATAGGAGCCCCCCCCCCCAGGGCTGGTACAAGAGTGAAGTGCAGCAGTGCACTATGGGGCAGAGAGGACACCATAACGATGGCAGTGCCTGGGCAGCCACGCTCCAGCAGGGGCCAGGCCAGGGGAGGGTGACACAAGTCCCTGCAAAGCCACAATGCACACGAGGGGAGGCATCTTGAAACAGACCCTGGCTTCCAGCCCCTGCCCCCGCTGCAGCCCTTTGGAGGCAGTGGTGCAGCCCCTCTGGCTGTCGGGAGCTCAGGGAGGTGCCCTGCTGGCTCAGCCTTGCCCCGGCTACCCCTCACTCTGCGCTGTGCACTTTTGTTTTGCAGTTCTCCCTGACGTCTCTGTTGGAAGACCTGGACCCGGGTAAGCGTGCTCATCCCCCTGCCCAACAACCGCAGGCTGGCTCTGGGATGGAAGCCAGGGGGCCCAAGCACGGAAGTCTTGCAGGGAGCTCAGGCTCAGCTGGTTCAGGGTGCCCCAGGTGATTTCGAGAATTTGCCCAGAAGCGTTGTGTGTGTACACAGTGCTTTACACACTTTGCCACTACCCAGGGACATCCCTGAGGCCAAGTCTCAGGACCCCAAGAGGAGAACTGCTTTGCTTTCACAGAGAAGGAAATGCAGGCCCAGAGATGGAAAGTAACTTGCTCCTGATCACACAGCCCATCGGTGCCCGCATCAGATGGAACACAGAGACCACGGGAGGGTGTACCTGAGCAATGGTTCACTCCAGGCAGGCAGGCCCTGGGCCACCTGCACCTCCACGTAGCTGCTCTGCTGGCTTCGCCCGTTTCCCCGGGCTCAGCATGTCCACCGCCGAGTGCCCCACTCTGTCACGTGGCCTCCCTGTCTTTCGCCTCCCCCCTGCCCCTTCCTGCTTGCTCTGCATGGCACCCCCAGTCCTGGCTGCACGCACAGGGCTGCTTCTTCCTCTCCTGCGCCCACTGGTGGTTCCTGACTCTGGCTGGCGGCCGGCCTCCCTCACGCGTAGGCACCTGCACTGGTCACATGCAGAGGAGCAGGGCAGGGCCCCCGGGACATGGAGCCTGCAGTCGCCTCTAACCTGAGGTCGTGGGCTGATCTGGAGCACAGGGAGCGGTTGCTGGGAGGACTCCCTTTGGCAATCATCTGTCTTCTTTGGTGCAAAGCCCTGGGTGGACCGATGTGACCCAAAAGAGGAATGAGCCTGGCCTCTGGGGTCTGGAGTGACTCTGGGTTTCCCCAAAACAAAACAGAGGAACGGACAACATGCGGTGCAGGCCCTCCAAGGGCGGATCCCCTGGCTGATGGCCACACAGCAGCCGCCTGGGCCGTCTGGTCCAGGGAGCAAAGCTGAGGGCCTAGAAGAGCTGCCCCTGGCCCAGCCGTGAGCACAGATGGCTCAGGCGCCACGCAGGGGGCTCCGTGGGCCTGGGTGTCAGGCAAGGCGGAGCAGCAGGAGCCATGGGTGAAATGGGGTAGAGACAGGAGCACAGGATGCTGAGGGGCTCCCCGTCTTCAAGTATCTGAAAAGCACCCCCTCCCCTAGTCTATGAAGTGACTTTGTAGAAATTGAGAGGTGCATTTACCTTAAGACACTTGACTGTCCTTTGCTGGAAGTTTGCACAAGACATCTACAGTAAGTTTATGACACCCTGGCATTGTGCAGTGAACAGCCTGAACAACTGTAAGCTTTGGGGCTACTGAACAGAGGCCCCAGAAAGTAGGGGAGGGTGAGAGGGGTGGGTTCATTCTGCTTCCTTAAGGTTTATACCTGTAATTCTGTAGCCTGTTGGCTACAGGGTCAGAGGTGATGTGCACACAGAAGGAGCCCCCAAAACATCGCAGTTGTCCAAAACCTGAACAGGCTGTTGAGCTCTTGGGAGAGAATGAAATCCTCATCGCTGGAGGCATTTAATTACTGGTTGGAAAAAATGACATAGGAGGGGAGCATCTTGAGAAACTGGGCTCAACAAGAACTCTGCTTCTGACAGTGTGGGGGAGTAACAGAGGGACCTGGGGCAGATGGCCCCTGGGCCCTGGACCATCGGCCTCTGTCTGTAGAGCGGGGTGGGAGTCTGTAGAGCAGGGTAGGATGGAGTGCCTGGTCCCTTCCGCCAAGGGTAGGTTTAGTTTTGAGACCATCCCTGTAGGTGTTGATCCAACCTCTCGGGACCACTGTGCTGTGATGAGATTGGTCACATCCACATTGGCTTGGGGAAGGAGAAACCACGCTCATGCCCACGGGGCAAGGTGTTGCCTGGGTTGGTCTTGCTGGCGAGAGTGCCTGGCAAGGGTCTCGCTGCTGCAGAAGGTGCCCAGCGCCCAGAGGAGGTGGCCATCAGTCAGGGAGGCTCTGCCCATCTCCCGAAGCAGGTGACATGGCAGCCCTAGGCCTGCAGAAGTAGGTCTTCAAAGCATCTTGGCTGTGCCCAGCAGCGCAGGCCAGGCCCATCCATCAGCTGTCCTGCTGCCTGCCAGCGAGGCTCTCTGCTGGGCTCGTGCCATCAGCCAGATTGGAGGCATCAAATGCGGGGTGACAGCGCTGGGGCTCCGGGGAGGCCCGTGCAGGGGCCGTCTGTGCCGCGGTGATGGAAGACGCCAACAGGGACGACATTCCTGAGATTTTTATTCCGTTCCACACATCTGGCAAGCTCTTTAACCGGAGCAGCTGCAAAGCCCCCCCGTTGCAGGAACTCTGAGCTTTTTTGGAGAGACCTTGAACGTGGACCGTGGTAATCCTGGTCCAGGGACCTGGGGCCTGTTCGAGAAGACTTCCCAGTGCGTGTGACTTCCTGCAAGCCAAAACCCTTGGAGTCTCTGGAAACACAAGCTCACAGGAGGGTCCAAGCTCTTAAAAAGGCAAAGAAGAAAGGAGTCAGGGAGGCTGGGTTAGGAGGATCTTTGTTTTTTTTTTAAGTACAGAATAGGAGTTATAATACCTATTCCGTAGGATTGTGGTTAAATAGGATTGTTTGCAACCACATTTACTGAGTAGCATGTCCTATTCAAAGAAAAGCCCCGGGGATGGGCATTTGTCACGGAGGTAAAGTTGCAGCTTGGGACACCGCATCCACATCAGAGGGCCGGCCTGGGTGTAAGTCCCAGCTCCACTCCTGATTCCAGCCTCCTGTTGATGCGCACCCTAGGAGGCAGAGGACAATGGCTCAAGTGCTTGAGTCCCTGCTGCCTCCTGGGAGGCCTGGCTTGAGTTCCTGGCTCCTGTCTTCAGCTTGGCCCATCCCTGGGCATTGTGGGTATTTAGGGAGTGAATCTACGGATAGAAAATCTCTGTGTCTATCTCTCTGCCTTTCAAACAATTGTTTTCTTTAAAAAAGGAAGAAAATCAGTACTGACTGTAAAATAGCCTATTACTTGGAATGTTTGGGTTAATTCAGAATACTCTCACCATCATTCCTGGTAATTTCTAGAAACAATGTGATCAACAGATGCTTCCAACAGCCAATCTTTTCTTCTCCAGAGCTCTCCCCTTTTCTATGGTCCAGAGAAAGTCCCAGGTAACCTGGATTTAAATCCAAAGCATCTATTCACAGTCCACCTGGTGGTAGCCAATTGCAAACCCTTCTGTCCAGGAAAGTATCCGGACAAGTTTCCAGATTTCTACAGAGCTCAGCAGGCATTTTCCTCTAAGTACCCGTGACCCAAATCTCGTACAGTTTCTTCCCTAAATTCCACATTTGCTCTGCTTCAAGCAGGTGCCAACTTTGCCTGCAGACTGTATGCTGCCAATCAGAAGGCAGGGAGGTTTGGGCACAGAGGGGAGCACTGTCTATCAGACATACACAAGGAGGCTTCAAAAGGGCCATGGAAAATCCCCATCATCTTATTTATTTATTGGTGAGGCAGAGAGACAGGTGGGGAGAGAGTGAGAATACATTCATGCATTCCCATTCGCTGGTTTGCTCCCCAAATTCCTGCGGTGGCCCCAGGCCAGAAGCTGACGCTGGAAGCCAGGAACTCAATCCAGGTCTTTCACGTGGCGGCAGGAACCCAACCGCTTGAGCCATCCTGCCACCCCCCAGGATCAACATTAAGAGAAAGCTGGAGTCAGGAGCCAGAGCCTGGACACAGATCCAGGCACTGTGGGATGCAGGCATTCTAACCATGACGCCACACACCTGCCTCCACATTATCTTTGAATTCTATTTTCCATGAATTTGTACATAGAAACAGCCCTCGCTCTTAAGAAACCAGCTGTCTCGTTGGAAGCAACAAAACAAAGAACCCAAGCTACATACTCATCCTAAGACAAGTGCCACCAAGGCCCAGCTACCAAACCTCAACTCTGCAGCTAACAGGGCTGCTGAGGGATGCCCTTGCTTCTACAATTCCTATCTTACCAGCAACCTAGCATTAGGGGAGCCCTGTGTGTCTGTTACTATTGCATAATACACTGCCCTAACACGATGGCCTGATCATGAACCATGTCTTAGATCTTAATTCTTTGGGTTGGCAATTTAGACTGTGCTCAGCTGGGCAGTTCTTCTGGTCTAGGCTCTGTTGAACTTGGCTGGGCCTCCTCATGTGTATGCAGTCAGCTGGGACATTGCCTGGGGTCTCATTTTGCTGCTCTTGGCTGGGCTTTCTCCCATGTTTGAGGTCCTCAGTTGGGACCACTGAGCCTGCTGCTGCCTTAAGCTCTTGCAGAACAGGACACACTGTTAAAATGGCAGTCACAAGGGTCCGAGAGAGAGAAAAAAAAAAAGCACAAGACTTAAAAAAAATGTATTTGTTTGATCTCATTTCATTTGAAAGGCAGAGAGGCACAGAGAGAAAGATCTTCCATCTGCTCATTCAATTCCTAAACACCTGGAACAGCCAGAGTTGGGCCAGACCAAACTGAGGAGTCTGGAACACAATCCAGGTCTCCCTGTGAGTGGCTGGGAACTTGAGCCATCACCTGCTGCCTCCCAGAGCACACCTGAGCAGGAAGCCAGATGGGAAGCATGGGAGCCAGCAATCCAACGAGGAACTACGACATGGGGCACAGGCAGCCCAGAGGCGTCTTAAACATGGTACGAAATGTCTGCCCCTACAAGACTTCTTAAAGCCCAGGCTTGAAACTGGCACTCTGTCCTTCCACTACACATGCGACTGACCAAAGAAAGCCCCAAAGTCAACACAGACCCAAGGAATGGGGATCTGCAATTTGTCTTGCAAAGGATGTGAGTAGAGTGGAGGGAGGAGAATTGGGGGTCATTCATGTCATCAAACCAGAATCCCAACATAGACTATGAGGCTGCTTCCTCCTTGCCTCTTCACTACCCATGCATCTCCTTCCTTGGCTGGGATTCCCCCCAAGGCTGGAGGTTCCTTTGAGGACAAGACCATCTCCTATACCTACTTGGATCCTTCCCTGGGGTTCACAATGCCTTCTGGCTCCTGGCCTAATCCTTGGTATTATATATATTGGTATTATATAAATTATAGGTACATAATGCAAGTCTATTACATAGAGAATAGTGTTAAATGCCAACATAATGGAAAAAACAAATAAGCTTAGGTTTGGAGAAATTATAGGAGTAACCTGTGGAGCACTTATCTATAAACACCTATTGCAAAAACAAAAATAAATTCACTGCTGAAACAAATCAGGATGCCATCATTTCATTACCAAACCCCATTGTCTCTCCCAAATGTCAATTTGAAATCTTTCATGTCAAACTCAGAAAAATATTTTCCCCCACTTTCTCACTCTCTGCTTTATCATGCTAGAGATGGAAAGAAACTTTATTTGCTCAGGAAGACAATGGCCTTATCTTCAACCCAGATCCTCGTCCCTGGAAAGGTGGCCTCCTCTGGGAGCATTTTCATAGCAGGAAAAAGCAGTGCAGGGGAAATAATGAGCAAGCAAAGGGAGTCTTGACTTGACACTGTGATAAATGAGGTGAAACTTTGCCAAGGAGCCAGAGTTGGTACATTCAAAAAGAAATAAAAAGATAGTTCCATTTTAATGGGAAATATAAAACAGTCATTGTGAAGAGTCGATTTTTCAAAAGCCAAAGAGATAAAGACTATAACAGAATGACTGGGAGACAAGGGAGATAATGTGGTTGATAATCAGTGTGGGTAAGTGGCCTCCTCCCAGCACCAGCGGCCCTGCAGGAGAGCCGTCCGCGTCAACCTTCCCCACGTGTGCCTGTCTCATCATCATATGCGCCTCTGGACAGCTTCCTCCCAGCTCCAACTTGCTGACTTGCCAAACTCCCGCCAGCCACGGAGAGCAAAATCAACCCAACTTTCTTCAAATCCCAAACTTCTCTCCGAGTCTCATAGAGCTTCCAGCGTCTCTAGCATCTCCCAGGCCCTGATGACAAAGAACTCAAATCCAGCCTTACACACCTGCTTTTCCCAATGACTGGCATGGGGGAAGCTTACTGCCATGGGCATAACTCCACACAGCCTTCTCTTTCCACTGACAAAGGCCACCAACCTTCTCAAGATTGTCCTGCTAAGATTCCTCATTAGCAGGATGGATAGCAGGAAGAGTGGACGCTCTTTCCCAAGAGTTAACGTGGGTGTTCCCAAGGCAATGCAATACTCCCACTGGAGCACTTGAGCACTGTAGTTGAGCAAGTGCGATGTAGTGATTGTACCCAGACAAGCTACCTTGGTGTATATCCTGCTATTAGCTGTGTGGTTTTGGACAAGTTACTTCATCTCTTTGAGTCTCAGGTTTTCTCTTAAAGTTGAATGAATATACAAGGGTCTTCAAAAAGTTCATGGAAATGCACATTATCCTTGAATTCCATTTTCCACACACACATTTTAAAGTACATCATAGGCCGGCACTGCGGCTCACTAGGCTAATCCTCCACCTAGTGGCGCCGGCACACCGGGTTCTAGTCCCGGTAGGGGTGCCGGATTCTGTCCCGGTTGCCCCTCTTCCAGGCCAGCTCTCTGCTGTGGCCCGGGAGTGCAGTGGAGGATGGCCCAAGTGCTTGGGCCCTGCACCCCATGGGAGACCAGGAGAAGCACCTGGCTCCTGCCTTCGGATCAGTGTGGTGCGCCAGCCGCAGCGCGCCAGCTGTGGCGGCCATTTGAGGGTGAACCAACGGCAAAAAGGAAGACCTTTCTCTCTGTCTCTCTCTCTCACTATCCACTCTGCCTGTCAAAAAATAAAAAAATTAAAAAAAAATAAAGTACATCATAGACCTCCTAGGTTTTTTCTGAGGCTGAAATGAGATGGTGTGAGTAACTGTTTAGTACTGGCCTGGCAAAGGCTTAATCAGCATTATCTCACAACGATGCTGTAGATGGGGCTTGGGCGTAGTTTGATCATGACCCAAAGGAAAGTGACAAATCTCTTTGACCTCATTAAGCTAAGGTGACACAGTCCTGTAGAACAATGGTCATTGTAAGACCCTAGTAGATCCCACAGAGGGCCCTGGGTCCCCATTCTTGTCCTGCTGTTTAAAGATGTGAAAACCAGGGCCAGTGCCATGGCTCACTTGGTTAGTCCTCCACCTGCAGCGCATGCTGGCATCCCATATGGGCACCGGGCTCTAGTCCTGGTTGCTCCTCTTCCAGTCTAGCTCTCTGCTGTGGCCCGGAAATGCAGTGGAGGATGGACCAAGTTCTTGGGCCCCTGCACCTGCATGGGAGACCAGGAGGAAGCTCCTGGCTTCGAAAGTGGCCATTTGGGGAGTGAACCAATGGAAGGAAGACCTTTCTCTCTGTCTCTCTCTCTCACTGTCTATATCTCTACCTGTCAAATAAAAATTTAAAAATAAATAAAGATGTGAAAACTAAGGCACCAGTTGGCCTGGCTGAGGTCACAGTTAGTGAAAAGCCAGGACTTGACTTCTCTTTATCCCTAATCAGGTGCTGTTGGTCCTGCCAATGCCAACACTGCCCAGTTGGCATCTCCCAACTGAAAAGTCCTGATGCCTGAACGCTCCTCCCCTTTGCCATCAGTGCAAAGAGCAGCTGGATACATGATTCCTTCCTTAGAACCTTGAGCCCTTTGGGGAAGGGAGTGCAACTAAATAGATTACTGGCTTCACTGGGTCCGATGAGGAGTGCTTCTCTCATCCTGTTCACATCCTGCAGATTGGACTCCCGACAACTATGATTACAGCTACGAGCACTACAACCAGGGAGAGAACACCGGTGCTACACCTGCCTACCCTGAGAATCCTGACTGGTACTATGCAGAGGATGGTAGGTACCACACCTGATGCAAATCCCCCTGGGAGGAGGGCATTGTGCCTGGAGGGAGTTTGCTGTGCTGTTATGCAAGACCAATACCGTAAAGCAGGTCTCGGAGAATTTATTTAGGCTGGCTTTTTTCCCCCATTAGAATGATACACAGTGAGGATTGGAGAGGCTCATAGAGACCATTTCCTCTTACCCTAAAATGACCGAGAAAGTAAATGAGACCAAGAGAGGAGCTGACCTGGCCCAGGTCATGCGTCAAGTTAGTGCCTCATTATCCAGATCTCTGAGAATAGCAGTCATGTTTAAAGTCATTGCTTTCGTCTCCAGGTAAGTCCTAATTACTCAGAAGAGTTCTAGTTAGCAGGGAGCATCGCCTGTAGCAACACAGATTTGACTTTGGGATTTTTTTCCCTCGTGTCTTTGCTGTGTTTTTGTGTCTGTTTTCGCTCTGTAGAAGCCTCCCACCCTTGTGAGGGTGTGTGTGCAGGTGTGTGTGTGGGAGGGGGGTGTATACTCACACATGTCTGCTCCCACCACAGTTGTTTTTGTTTTTTTGCCACTTCTTAACCTGAACAATGGGACAGAAAGGAAAACAAGAAGCTGGGTCCAAGAAAAGCCATGTGACGAAACCAGGACAAGGCACGGAAAGCACTTAGCAGCTGGAATAAAAGCGATGGAACAGTACGAAGTGGCCTGGAAGGCAGGGCCAAGATACAGGGCACCAGGGGAACATCAGAAGGGACCATCAAAACAAGAGCCAGGCCCAGGGATCCTAGTTCCTGAACCAAAGAACAATGTGTGTGAACAGAAGGATAAAGAATTCCCCAAGGGAAGATCCATTCAGACAACCATGAAAAGCCAAAGGCACAGATGAAATATGACAAAATCTAACTGAACAAGTAGTTGAAGAAAGATGAAGGCCACTGGGTCATTCCCTCCTCGCCGTCAATTCTTCTGTCACCCTCTTGCCTTTGCTCTTCTCGCCTGATGTTCAGACAGCTTGTGTTTCATTAGGGGTGGGTTTTCTTTCCCCACGCCTGACCTCCACCCCTGGGCACTGGAAGTAGGGGAGGTCTTCAGGCTTGTGAATGCCGTCAGCATCAGAGGCAGACCCCGTGGCACTCCCAGCGAGACGGGGAGGAGAAAGACACTCATGAGGGAAAGGGGAGCCTCTCAATGAGAAAGGCCCCATCCAAAGCAGACCGAGGGGAGACAGTCGCAATTCCTTCTCACCTCCCCTCTTACTAACCTGAATCCCTCCCTCTGGCCACATGGCTGCACTTTTCCTTGTTCTCGAAGGAAAATCTGTGTTTCCCCCTCTCCCCTGGCTCCATAATCACTCTCGTTTGGGGAAGAGACTGCAATGAGATGAGCAAACAGGAGCTTCTCACCAGATGCCTCTTATCACCCTTGACTTCTGCCCATTTGTCTTAGATCCATGCCAATCCAACCCCTGTGACCACGGAGGGACCTGTGTTGTCAGCCAGGACACCTTCAAGTGCAAGTGCCCAGCCCCTTTCTCTGGGAACCGGTGTCAAAAGGGTGAGTGCATCTTTACTGGATTTATTCTCCCTTCTGGGCTAGAAAAAAGCAGTTTCTCCTCCAACTCTAGGGAGGAAGGAAGGGCGAGTGGCCCCATGGAAAGGGTTCCAACTGCCACACTGTGTCATGTGTAATGGATCCTGGTGCAGGGTCATAGGCAGCTGCTAACTGAATCTTCATCCACACACTGTGAGATGGGACAAATACGTCCACGCTACAGAAGACAAGATGGAGGCCAAGGGCAGGTAAGAACTGGAATCTAAAACAGGAGGCATGTTCCAAACTTGGGGTTTATTTTTCAGGGCCTTTCCACTGACTACAACAGAGAAATGTTGTCCTCAGGTGGGAGAGCAGGAAGGATCTCAGGACACACAGGGCACAGCCCTGTTAGAGAAAGGCAGCCCAGAGAGCGCAGGAGACTTGCTTGTGGGCACAAAGCTACTTGGGGATTGAGCAGAAATGAGAGCCCTGCTGCGTGACTCAGAGCCCCATGCTTGTTCATCTTGCCATTCTCACTGTGTCTGCCTTTAGTGAGCTCTGTGGGCTTCATGAAAGGCCATTGGATAAGGCATAAGAAATAGAACACCCATGCATTATTTGTACCCTGTAGCGGACCTGGATTCTGTCCACTCTGACAGCCATCAGCTGGGTTGGGAGAGGCAGAGAGGGTTTGATGGACAGGGCTATATTGTTGATCTCATTCCTCTGTGTCCTGTTCCCTTGATTCTCCAATTTCAACCCAGTGATTCCTTCAATCAATGTTTCATGATGGCTGGGAACAGTGGGTATAAATGGAGTACCTGGATTCATCCTTCAGCTTCTCAAAAGAATGACAAAACTATGAATGGAATGTGAAATCAGCTATTTAAAACAGAGAGAATAAAATTGTGACTCTGTTTGCTGAAGATATGAAAATTATCAATGCTTTTTACTAGGATAGGAAAATAAAAACTATGAGCACTGGAGCATAAGAAGCAATCATTCGTGATCCAATGATAAGAGAAACCATGACCTGGTTGGTTAGTACTTCAGCACCATGGACAAGGCCACATGCACCCTGTGGGCCACCCCCACCTGAAACCTTGTAGCATACAGCTACTCCTCCAGGTACAATGGGCCCCAAATAATATCCTGTATTCCGCCTCTACTTCTCTGTGGATCCCCTACAGTGCAAAACAAGTGCGTGAACAATCCCTGTGGCCGGGGCGAGTGTCTCATTACCCAGAGTCCTCCCTACTTCCGCTGTACCTGTAAATACCCTCACACCGGTCCAGACTGCTCCAGAGGTAAGTGGGGAGGCTGCTTTGATGGCAGGTCTTCTCTGCCCTAGCTTGTGCCCAGAGTCCCCACCTCCCACTCAGTGGAAGTCAGATGCATCTGATGTTTTCTTGGGATTCAGTGTGGCCCTTTTAATTGTGATTTTTAAAGATTTGTCATTCCTGGAGAGTCCAGTGGGAACCGACTGACCTGTGTCCCTTACCACTCAGAAAGAATAGTCTTAAAGCTGACTTCCTCTGGGAAGTAGGCCCTGATCTATTTCCGAGATGAGCCATGTAAAGGAGTCAGTGCGGTGAGTCAGATCTGCATTCTGTCTCAGGCACTCCCAGAATTACTGCATGGGAAAGTTTTACAAATGAAAAAACCAAAATTCCGAGAGGTTAGCTAACTTTCTCATGGTCACACAGGTATCAAGGGCCAGAGCCAAGTTTGGGGACTTGGCGCCCGTGTCCTGGCTCAGTCCATGCCTCTGGTCATTGTTTGCTCAGTGACCTGTGCACTGATGTGTTCTTCGCACAGCTTCCTCTCATCTTGCCGCATCAATGTTTGCTTATTTCTTAAGGTCCATGTGTACAGTTCCTAGAGTGTCTGGGGCTCTGTCATACCCCTCTTGTGCCACCAGTATCTACTTGTCATCTCAGACATGGGCTGCAACTCCCTCTGAAGTGCCTTCCTGGCCCCACTTCCTGTGTTCACAGTGGTTCCTGCGTGCAGGCCAAACCCCTGCCAGAATGGCGGCACCTGCTTCCGGCACAAGCGGAGGTCCAGGTTCCGCTGTGCCTGCGCTGACCAGTACAGGGGCAGATTCTGCGAAATCGGTATGGGTCTCTGCCTCCACTTCAAACAAAACTCAGGACTGCAACCAGGTCTCTGAATTCCTTTTCCGTTTGGGTGTTGTAGCGAGACTGTGGCTCAGGTTGGGTTTCTCAAACTCTGCCTTTGCTTCTGCCTCCCAGCTTATTGGGCACAAGCTGTGTCTCGCTCCATGAAAAGAAAGCAGTAACCTGGGATGTAGTAGAGGCAAATCAGACACACCTAAGCATACCTGGGCCTCTCCCCACCTTCCACCAGTTCTTCTATGAGCCAAAATGGAGGAGCTGAGCTCCCACCCTCACAACCATTGTATTTCACATTAAGCTAGGTCGGATGTGGAAAATTCTGGAATTTCATGGTGAAATCTTAGGCCCAATCTTATCACCTTTGTTACACTCCTGAAGTCCTCACGTCCATTGCTCTCTGTTCTCATGTCCCTGCTTATTTGTCTCTGAGGCCCTGATGACTGTTACACTGGCGATGGGTACTCATACAGAGGACAAGTGAGCAGGACGGTCAACCAGCACCCATGCCTTTACTGGAACTCGCACCTGCTCTTGCAGGAGAATTACAACATGTTTATGGAGGATGCTGAGGCCCACGGGATTGGAGAGCACAACTTCTGCAGGTAAAAATTACTTTCTTCCCTGTGTTCAGCCTTGGTGGCTTGCTTATTTTATTTATTTATTTATTTATTTATTTATTTATTTTGGACAGGCAGATTTAGACAATGAGAGAGAGACAGAGAGAAAGGTCTTCCTTCCATTGGTTCACCCCCCAAATGGCCACTGCGGCCGGTGTGCTGTGCTGATCCGAAGCCAGGAGCCAGGTGCTTCCTCCTGGTCTCCCATGCAGGTGCAAGGTCCAAGCACTTGGGCCATCCTCCACTGCCTTCCCGGGCCACAGCAGAGAGCTGGACTAGAAGAGGAACAACCGGGACAGAATCCGGCGCCCTTACCTGGACTAGAACGTGGGGTGCCAGCACCGCAGGCGGAGGATTAGCCTAGTGAGCCGTGGCACCAGCCAAGTGGCTTGCTTATAAAGCAGATCATTGAAACTCATCAACCTTCTTTCTAGGAAAAGTTTCCTGTCCAGAACAGGCAAGGTCATGCTGCTGCAACAAAATATCCCCAGCTCGCAAGGGCTCAAATACCTTACTTGTTACCAACACTACATGTGGGTTGGGAATGGTGATGTGGGGATTTCAGCTCTACAAAGTGGCTCAATTATGCAGGAAGGGCAAGAAGAGGTGGAAAGTAGAGGATGCATTGTTTTACTGCCTTCATCTAAAAGTGACACATCATCTCATTGGTCTGAAATAGTCAAATGGCCCACCCAACTGCAAGAGAGAAACCAATGAGATGCCTGGAGCCTGACAAGCTCCACCACAAGGGTGTTCGAGTTGTCCCCAGAAAGGGCAGTGCCACCCTCCTCCCCAGCGATGACCCTGGTGAACTTCTCCCCCTTCTGCATCTAGACCACTCTGCTGGCTGCCTCCCACTGCGCTTTGTTTCTAGCCAAGGCCAATTCCTTAGAAGATTCGTATGTAAGGGGCACGGGTCTTTGGCCTGGCTTTTAGCTAGCTCCGTAAACAGGAGAATTTTCCTTGCACAAAACACGAATTACCTTGCACTTGCATTCACCAGAAGCTGGTCCCTGCATGGAGCTAGCAGCAGGTGTCCACCCCACCCTGACCCCCAGCTGCCTGTCCATTCCTACAAATAGAATTCTGAGGTTCAGGCAGAGGGAGCTTACCCCCACAATGCTTCTGTGGCCATTTTACTTCTCTGTCGGAGAAAAGTCTCCAGCAGGGATCTCACTTATTTTCTTAAACACAATTTGATACGCCCCGTGGATCTGCCACAGGGTTTGTGAAACGCTCCCTGGTCCTTGGGATTCTCTGCTGGAAGTCAAGGTTTTGCCAAAAAAAACTATAACCATCCTTATTTGCCCAGATTTGCTGGCCTACTGGTAGATTCAAATGGAACACGATCCCACATTCAGATGAGCAGAACAAGGCACCATTCAAGCTCCATGTGCAAGAGCATGAAGCCTCTTAGCCAACAGTCCTCTAAAGAGCTCCAGGGGTTCCCCAAGCCTTGACCCTGAGTTACTTGGGTTTTTTGTGTATGTGTATGTGTGTGCTTTTTAAGAAACCCAGATGGAGACAAAAAGCCCTGGTGCTTTGTGAAAGTGAACAGTGAGAAGGTGAAGTGGGAGTACTGTGCTGTCTCGGCCTGCTCCACCCCAGGTAAGCCCAGGGCTGTCGGAGGGCCGAGCTGTCCAGGGGCACAGGGTGGTTGCAAGTTCTCAGAGAGAGGTTCCTGGCATCCCATTCCCCCACCCCATTCCCTCTCCACAGCTGCTTTATCTGTTCTGTCTGAGTGGCACCCTACCTGCCTGGTCCTTGGCGCCCCTCAGGATGCCAAGCAGGTGTAAGGATCTTTGTCATCGCTGGCCAGGTGGCTCCACTGCACACACCCAGCCAGTGTGCCCAGCAGATACTTGTTCATCGCCCGGCGCTGGGGGCGCTATGGTCATCAAACATTGATTGGTCCCCCTGGGCTCTCGGGATTCCCCCCAGGTCTGAATTCCAGCCTCACGGTCTCCCTGCCAGTCGTCGCTGCCCATTTCCGCGCTCACACCTGGGGTGATGATGTGCACTCCCACCCCAACAGAGAGACGCTCCACACTCTCTCACGCTGCCCCAACCAGTTTCACTTCTGTGCCTTTGCTCTTCTGGCTGTCTCCGTCTATAATGCTCCATCCCATACCCGTCCTTGCCCATTTCCAGCCACTCTTTGATAATCGACCCAAGTTCCCCTTCTCCAAAAGGTCCTCCTCTTCTCCCAAGTAGAGAGCGCGTTCTCTCCCTCCTTGCCGACCCCAAGGACAGAAGGAGGCTCCATCCATGCAACACTTTTGCCGTCTTCTTTGTAACCCAGTTATCTGTGCTGTGTCCCAGCTCCCCTATTCGGCTTCATTGGAGTGTCCTTCCCTCCACACTGGAAAAGCTTCCAACTATACATGTGCCTTGATGAACAGCTAAGTGATGGATTTGTCTATTTTTTAAGATTTTATTTATTTATTCATTTGAAAGGTAGAGTTACAGACAGAGAGGGAGAGACAGAGAGAGATATCTTCCATCCACTGGTTCACTCCTCAAATGGTTACAATGGCTGAAACTGGGCTGATCTGAAACCAGGAGCCAGGAGCTTCTTCTGGGTCTCCCACATGGGTGCAGGCGCCCAAGGACTTGGGCCATCTTCTACTGCTTTCCCAGGCCATAGCAGAGAGCTGGATTGGAAAGAGGAGTGGCTGGGAGTAGAACCAGTGCCAGTATGGGATGCCGGCACTGCAGGTGGAGGCTTGGCCCACTGTGCCACAGCGCCAGCCCCTGGATTTGTTTATTCACACACACACAGAACATGTGTGTAGCACACTGGGAAATCCAGAGGAGAATGTGTGCTTCACCGTGAATCCTATGGACTCGCTTTCTGGTAAGCACTGTGATTAGAAGGAAAGCTTCTTAGTTCTGGACCCTTAACTTCTGGACTGAGAATCACTCCTCTGCCCAGCTCTGAGGAGCTAGGGGGACTCTGAGCAGTGTGATTGATCTTTCTTGCATCCCACAGACACGGACAACCTGGAGGGAAGCCCTGCGGAGCCCCTGGTCAAGATCCCAGGGTTTGACACGTGCGGGAAGACCGAGGTGGCAGAGCGGAAGCTCAAGAGAATCTACGGAGGCTTCAAGAGCACGGCGGGCAAGCACCCGTGGCAGGCGTCCCTGCAGACCTCCATGCCCCTGACCGTGTCCATGCCCCAAGGCCACTTCTGCGGGGGGACGCTCATCCACCCCTGCTGGGTGCTCACCGCCGCCCACTGCACTGAGTAGGTGCCTGCCGGGGGCGAGGGGCAGGGCGACGCCACTGTAAGGGGTGCTCTCTCCTTTCCATTGAGCAGCATCTTGGCAGCTTGGGCAAGTCTGGGGGTCTAATCTAGCTCCAAGGGCAAAGGAGCTGCAAATTGGTCAAAAGCCACCACGTCACTGTATGTGTTCCACAGCACTTAATCCACCAAACTGCCTCCTGGAAGACAAGCGGAGGGAGGCCAGGGCTGGGCTTGTGTTTTATGAATTAACTGCAGGATCTCCAGTGCCAACAGCCAGCCTTTGGGCAGGGCAGCTGTTGAGTAAATATCTGTGCAGGGAGAGACGTTATCCCTTCCTTTTCATAAACAAGGACTTCGAGTCCTGGGAAGGCTTAGCGTCTAGTTCAGAGGCACGTGGAAAGTAAGGGGGTGAATGGGATGTGAACCCATGGCCCTTATTTTTCCCTTGCAGCATAAAAATCAAACATCTCAAAGTGGTGCTAGGAGACCAGGACTTGAAGAAGACTGAGTTCCACGAGCAGACCTTTGGGGTGGAGAAGATAGTGAAGTACAGCCACTATAATGAAAGAGATGAGATTCCCCACAATGACATCGGTGAGTCTACTCCACCGTGGACCTCCAGTGGGTCTTGTGCCAGTAGATTTCCCCACTGATGGACAGCTGAGGTTTGGTTCTAGAAGGTGCTCTTGACCACTTTGGTCCCTTATAGATGCTGTAATAATTTATTCCAGAGCTTTTTTTTTTTTTTTAAATAATTTTAGAGAGCAAGAGTTCCTATCAGTTGGTTTACTCCCCCAAAAGCCTATAATGGCCTGGATGGGGCCTGGCTGAAGCTGGTAACTCAGTCCAAGTCCCAAGGACTTGAGCTGTCACTGCTGCCTCCCAGGGTCTGCACTAGCTGGAAGCTGGAGTCGGGAACCAGAGCTGCGTATCAGACTCAGGCTCTCCAGTATGGGCCATTGATGTAGCACTGGGCGTCTTACCTGCTAGGCCAAACACTTGCCCTGAGAGCTTTTACGTCCTTGGGAGTGCACCGAGCGCTGTGATAAATGGGCACAAGTTCTCCAGTTGAGGTGAAGGATGCCAGGAGCCTCACGCTGTACAAACAGCTTGGCCTTGAATCCGAGCTCCCCGGCCTACTAGCCACCGCCCAGTGCCTCAGTTTCCCCTTCTCTGAGGACACTGATGCACAGCTTGCACGTCCTGTGTGTTAAGTGACACCATGTGCCGGTGGACGCCCTGGGCACCTGGTGGGCCCTCAGGGTCAGAGGCACTGATTCTTTGCACTACTGCTCAGTTCTGTACCCACCCTAGCTCCCCTCCGTGGGGACTCCCTCTATCTCTCCTTCATCAGTAGTCTTGTTCCTTTTGCAGCCTTTGTTTAGACAATGGACTAGAAAGTACTCCAAAGTCCATTATTTTGTCTTGATACTGTCCTCGGCCTGAAGCGTTACTCCTTGTCATGGTCAGTTCTTCCTCGCTGAGTGCAAACACCGAGGCAGGCTAACTTTACAAGGGAAGGAGGTTTATTATGGCTCACAGTTCTGGAGTTTCCTAGCACAGGGTTGAGTGGGTCCCCCTGGGCTGGCCCCCAGCGCTGGTGTTCTTGTGAGCTGAGTCCCAAGGTGGCACAAATGTGGCGAGACACAGGGAGTGCAGTTCTCTGCCTCTGTCTGTGCCTTCATAAAGCCTCCAGGATCCAATCGGGCCCCACCCCAACCCCTAATCCAGTCACTTCCCGAAGGCCCTGCCTCTGAACAACATAGCTGGTTTAAGTTTCCACTGTTTCAGAACCTCTGTTTGAAGGGACAAACACTCAGACCATAGTGTTCCCCCCAGGGCGGGGTTTTAGAAATGAAATGACGGAGGCAGGGGTGGTGGAGCTTTGCTAGGCCCGCCTTCCAAAGCACATTGAAGCTGTAGAGTCACACTCATTCACTCCCCTCTCTCCCCACCCAGCTTTGCTCAAGTTAAAGCCCGTGGACGGTCACTGTGCTCTCGAATCCAAGTACGTGAAGACCGTGTGCCTGCCCGATGGGCCGTTTCCCTCTGGGACCGAGTGCCACATCTCAGGCTGGGGTGTTACGGAAACAGGTGAGTCTGGCCGTGCATCCTCCCCAAGCTCGGCTGAGCTACGTCAACCAGAGACGAAAGGGCCACACCCAGCTGCCCTTCTGAACTTGGAATCTGTGTGTTATCCACAGTGCCTAATCAGAAGTCAGCTTGTGCTGGACCCTTCAAGCTCTAGTCCAGGCTCACCACCTACAAGGAGCCCTCCCCAGTCTCTATATCTGTCCTCAGCACCATCCCACATAGCTGACTTTTACCAAGCGTTGAACCTATGTCTGTGGAGACCTCTCTGCTTCCCCAGGTAGACTGGAAAGAAGTAGACTGCAAAGATCCTGGATTTTAGAGTCAGATAGACTTGAGTTATGTTATTGGCTGCATTGCTTGAACAACTGAGATTTAATTTCATAATCATCATACGTACTGCCTTGATTTGGAATCACACCCACAGGAGGTGACAGAATTCTATAGAGGTGTTCACTGAGTTGGCCCTAGAGGGTGGGGGTCAGATCTCACTCATCTCTCTCTCTTTCAGACTCTTTGTTAAGACTCTTTGAGAAAAGTAGGCATTCTATAAAATTGTGTGAAATTAAGTTCTTGATTTGTCTCTGGGATTTAGTCTTACCTGAAAAAGTAACAAAATTAGGGTGATGGGGACAGGGTCGGGAAACATGAGGGATTCATGAGGTATGGAATGTTCTGTATCCTGGCTAATTCGATGTCAGTGGTGGTTGTATTACATTGTAGTCTTATAAGTTATTACTATCGGGAAAACTGAGTAAAGGATGCAAGAGAACTCTGTTCTTTCTTACAACTGCATGTGACTCCACAGTTATCTTAAAAAAAAAAAACAGTTTTAAAGGCAAAAATAAATTAACCAAAGGGTTACTTTCTTCACAGTACTGACAAGATCACTCCCTCTAATGCAAAGAAATTCAAAAGAGTATTTCAAGTCTTTCCCAAACATTAAAAATATACTTCCCTTCCCTTCCAAATCTTGCCCTTGATAATGAAAAAGCAAGAATCACTTTTAACAGGTCTGTATTCATGACGAAAGGGAAATGTAATATACAAATTTGTCCGATGCTTTTGGGAAAGGAGACTTCTTGCTAACTGATTTTAGAATTGACCAGGAAACTCTTTTCTGAAGCTATCTTCATTGTAGTCCACCTAAGCCTTCTGATCCCTATTCTGTGCAATATGGATTGGACAGTATGGCCATGTCTGAGATGGGGCTCTTACAAGACATTCAGGCTAGGATGTTTTAGTTTCTCTGAATAGCCCTCCAAGGCTGTGTGTTCAAAGTCAATGACATGTTTTGATTGACTCTTTACCTGTGGAGCAATAGCAGTACACCAGGGCACTCCATCCATCCATCCATCCATCCATTCATCTATCCACTCACTCCCCAAGAGTCTACTAAATGCTAGCCTCTCTGGTCTGCATAGGAAATTAACAAATAGTCAACACACCTTCCCTACCCTCCTAGGCCTCATAGTCTGCTTGGGGTTACAGAGGAGGCAATGAATGGTTCAGCCCCACTGTGATAAGTGCAGCATTACAGGTCTGCATAGGCGTGGTGACGCCTGAGGGAAAGGATCCATCAGCCTTAGAAGGCGACGCTTCCCAGCTCCTGGAAAATCCACGCTTCCTGAGCTGAGAGCTGGTGGCCTTCTAGTACTGCTGGATTCTGGTGCCCACCATAGTGACTTTTCTCTTTGCCCCACAGGGGAAGGGTCCCGCCAGCTCCTGGATGCCAAAGTCAAGCTGATTGCAAACACTTTGTGCAACTCGCGTCGACTCTACGACCACATGATTGATGACAGCATGATTTGTGCAGGAAACCTTCAGAAACCTGGACAAGACACCTGCCAGGTCAGAGGCTCCTAATGGTACTTGGAGAAGGAGAGGCTGGCAGTCCTCGGGCACAGAGGCTGTTGGGAGCCCTGGGCGGAGATAGGGCTGTAGCAGTCCACATCAGTATGGATGGTTCAACTTGGTAACCACAGTGGTCCTGGTGCCTGCATTGTTCACTCGAATTCCCCCAACCCTCTGGTGTGTGTGTGGAGGGCATCATTAGCCCCATTTTACAGATGTTTTCAGAGGTTGTCTTGGCCTGGATGCTAAGTGGCAGGGCTAGAATTTGGACAACCCAGGTCTGCAGGATGCCACAGCCTTTGCTACTGTGCTCCACGATATTTAAATGTGAAGATGGCACAGCTGGCCTCAGTGTTGGGCAGCAGGTCTGAAATAGCCCAACGAATGCCCTAAAGGCCATTGGCTGGAAGGAGAAAGATGTGAGGCCTAGAGATTTTGCAATGATATTAACTACTCATGAGGATTTAAACGAGAGAGACAGATACAGGTTTCACCTTAGCACGCTAAGTGGCTCTGCGGCCATAGCCAGCCTAGGGCCTGCCTGACGCTCCTCCCAGTCTCGACTTTGGGAACCCCAAGCTGCTGAGGCCTGCGGTGTGTGAGAAGCTGCTGGGGAGGGAGGAGGTGGCAGCTCCACACTGGTGCCAAGGGGACCTCAGGCGGTGTCCCAGTGCACTCCCCAGAGTCCCTGCCTCTGCCAGGGTGTCATCACACAGCATACGTCCGTCCCAGATGCCCAGAAACACCTCGATTTACAATTTTCTGCTGATTGTCCTCACAAACCACCCAACTACCCTGGAAAACCCAACAGGGCCACATTTGGGTCCTAGATCCTTGATGGAGTCTCTCTACAAAGGGATCCAAACATTACTTGCCCACCTTGAGTTCACTTTGGGTTGGGAAATGGAAATGACTGCTCCAGGGTTTGTGTCTCTGCTGTGAGCCCTTCCCTCTCCCAGGGACCACAGATATGCACATATGCAGAGAACCATAGGCAGATGGGTGCTACTTGCCCTAAGTCCCTGGGAGATGAGTCAGAGATTGTTCAAGAAAAGAAATAATTGCTGCCGGCTCTGGTAACAGCCATGGGTTTGCAACTTGGTTCTGTCCCCTATTGTGTGGCCTTAGCAGTCACCAAATTCTCTGATCTCAGATGCCTAATCTGTAAAATGGTGCTAACATGTCCATCAAATCATCCTAAGGTTGTGGCTAAGATGCCAAGAGGGAATTCATTTGAAAAACACCTGTTAGTGGTGGTGCTTAAGTGGTAGTGGATGTTTGGGAGCCTAAGAGCTGCTGACACCCTCATTGTCCTTCTCAGAATCCTCACGACAGCCCTGGGACACAGTTAGCAGTGTGACAACCTGAGGCCCAAGGCTGGCAGGCACCAGAGCCTGGCTCAGAGCCCAGGACATCTAACCACGTGGACCACGGTGAATGCCCTGACCAGGGTGCCCCCTGAGTCCCCATCCTCCTCCCCTGTGTGTGCCCAGGGCTGTATCCAAACAGGGCCCCAGAAGGAGCAAGTCCAGAGCCCCTGAGAGCTCACAGCAGTGACACCCTGAAGGGAGCCAGCACTGCGGTGCGCCGGGGTAAGCACAGCCTGCAATGCGGGCGTTGTGCATGCTCCACTTCCGATCCAGCTCCCTGCTAACGTTCAGGGGAAAGCAGTGGAAGACGGCTCAAGTGCTTGGGCCCCTGCCAGCCATGTGGGAAACCGGGGTGGCATTCCAGCCTCCTGGCTCCAGCATGGCCCAGCCCAGGCCATGGCGGCCATTTGGGGAGTGAACCAGAGGATGGACAATCTCCTATTTCTCTCCCTCTCCCTGTCCCTCTCCCTGTCCCTGTCCCTCCCCTCTCTTTCAAAGAAACAAAGTAAGTATTTTAAAAAAAAAACCCTCCTGTGACTAAGAGTCAGGAATTAGAGTTTGCCCATGGCACGGTGGCTACAGCCCTTGGCTCCTGTGCCAAGCCTCCCAGGCTCAGGGACAAAGGACACTGCTCACTTAGAGAGTGAGTTTCACGGCACCGGAAGCCTGGGGAGAGCCTGCTTTCCAGAGCAGCCCGCCACAGCTGGCAGCCGACACCGCCCCCTCAGCCCCGGCACCCTCTCTGCGGTCGTGGGGGTGTCTGAATGTACTGTGGCCCCGAGGCTGACCTCACGCCCCTTCCTCCCCTAGGGTGACTCTGGAGGTCCTCTGACCTGTGAGAAGAATGGCACCTACTACATCTCCGGCATAGTGAGCTGGGGCCTGGAATGTGGGAAGAAACCAGGGGTCTACACCCAAGTCACCAGGTTCCTGAGTTGGATCAAAGCCACCATCCAAAGGGAGGCTGCCGTCTAAGCTGCCGTCCTCTGAAGCACCTCAGACAACACGGGCTCCTGGGCAGCCACAGGCACCCCGTGGCCTCCACGCAGCGAGTGTTCATGTTCTATGCAGAGACAACCACTGCCCAGCCTGGGCCTTCCTGGCCCAGCCTTTGCACCATTTCATCTGGCTCTTTCTGATCTCTCAAAGCATGATGGAACCCACACGAGATAGCTTAGGTTTGCTTCACTTTCAACAGTTGTTCTTCCTAGAAAATCAGCGTTCAGAGGCTGTCTCCACCTGACACCTGCCAGCAAGGGACTGCAGACTGCCCAGCCTTGGGGGGAGTCGCCCTGGCCTCTTTATTCCTCATCCTGGACCGACCAGCCAGGTACTAGAGAGAGGAGCAATAATACGACGTAGCCCCGTTGCTTTCACAGTTGTTTTAATAAACCCAGGACCAGGGAAAGCAGGTGCTCCATTGTTCCAGCTCGTCCACTTGGGGCCATCTAAAGTCTGGATCTTCAGATGCAAGTTCGCTCTTCCGGCTTCTCTCTTAAGAACTGGCGTGGACACCACTCGCTCACAACAGCAGAGCCTTCTTCCTTTTGACGTGCAGGATCTCAGTGGCATCTGGGTTCACCTGCCCCCTGGGATCATCTCCAGACTCCATGGCCTCTGGCCCTCCCTGCAGAAATCAAACACACAGCCCGGAGTTACCACGCAGCTCCCGTCCTGTTTCCACAGGAGATGGTAAGATAGCCCAGGAGCATGGGACTCATTCGTCTCCACACCCTCTCCCCTCCTCCATCCTTCCCAGGAAAAAGGATCCTCAAGGCAAGAATGAAAAAGAAGCAAAGTCAATCTCATTTAGATGCGGTGTCTTTTTGGGAAAAATAAAAGCATTTGAAATGCAGACTGTTGTAGCCAGCAAGTCTCTGACCCTTTCCACAAATGCAGCAAGCCAGCAGTCAGCACAGCCTGGGCTGCCCTGGCCCGGGATTGATGTCACCCCAGTAGGTTTGCCTCTGCAGAACTAATGGCTGGGACTTCAGAGAAAACCCTGCGGGAAGTTTAACCCACGTGTCATCCGCCTGGTCATCTCAGACCCGTGAAATTAGGCGCCTTGCTCCAGCTGCATTTTACACTTCTTTAGAGAGGCTGATCTTTGGCCAAAAATAAACTTTGAAAAGAAACAATGAGTTTGTCTTTCCCCCAGGGTCTCGCCACACTCACATAAGCCCCCTGGAGACCCCGGCTCCTTGCGTTGGCCAGTTCTGCAGCCCGCCGAGCCATTTCCACTTTGTAGGAGCCAGGAGGAGTCCAGCCAACACCTCTGGTCAGATTCAAGTCCGATTTATACTTGACCTTGGGGGAAGGAGAGAAGCAAGAATATGTCAGCAGGGTTTGGGGTGGTTTGACCACTGAGTGGACAGGGTTAGAAAAGCCACCACAAGATGGGGAATATATTGTTGTTAGTAAAGCTAGGGCAGTGGGAACAAATCCATCTCATGCAGTAGCTCCCTGGCACCAAGGGCCCAGTGTGCCACAAGTGGAGCCAGCCTTTCGCTGCCCCTTTCAAGTGATGGGAGCTCAGTGGTGCAGGGTTGGGGGTGGGGAACAGCTGGGTCAACTCTGAGCGCCTACTTTGATTTACTCCGTGGCCTTAGGGGAACCACTTCTCTTTTGTGGGATGCAGTTTCTTCCCACGGAAAGTGCAGGGCTGGGTTAGGTAACTACTAAGGACCCTTGGAAACACAGCACAGCTGGGGCTCTCCCAGCAAACCAAATGGCATTTACATCCTAGGTCTGCCACTTCTTTGCTGGGGGATATTAAGTTAACCCCTCTGAGCCTCAGGTTCCTGATCTGTAAAATGGGGCCATAGTGGGGTTATTGTGAAGGCTACAGGACAGGATGCTTGGGAAGCACTTGGCACAAAGCCTGACTTCCCAGCAGAAATTCAAGAAATGGAGGTGATTGTTACTATTCCTCTGGGTCGGTAGTGTTAAGGGCCTTGGGTCCTATCTTGGCCCAACTCCCCAGAGCACAGGGCCTTGTCCTAGGAAGAGGCACGAGGGGAGAGGCCTCAGCGGGGCCGGCGAAGGCTGCTCACATCACTTTGCAGCCGGTGGGCTTTCTGTGCGTGCTTCAGGCCCAGCTGCTCCGGGTCACTTGTGGGCTGGGGCAGGGGCTGTCTGTACTGCACGTCGCTGGCCAGTTGCTGGCTCCTCTTGGCATGCAGAAACCCTGGCTGGTCTGCACGGCTGTGGAACTGGGACCGACTCTGGACAAAGTCCTTCTTGTACTCATTGTCACTCTGAAGTCTGCCCACGGTGAGGAAATGCTTCATCCTTGGGTCATCACTGATGCTGCGGTACCCAATCTGCAGGCCCCGGTCCCGCAGGAAGGCCTCCTTGTACCGGAACTGCAAGGTCAGAGGAGCAGAGAGGGGTCGCTAGGGCCCATGTCTTCCCCCCTCCACAGGCCAGCCTCCCCTCCCCGAGGGGGTCGTCCTATGGGACACACAGTAGGGAGCTCAACGGTGGATTAGAGGCACACATTTTGGATCCGGGTAGAACCAAAGTTGTGACGTGGGTCAGATATTGAGTCTCTCTGAGTCTCAGTTTCCCCATCTTAAAGATGGGGTAATGAATTTCGACCCCATGGGATATTAAAAGGATTTAATGAGATGGGGCTGAGCTTCGTGCTGGCCACTGGCTCACGCCCACTGAGTGGCAGCTACTGGCGTTGATGCTGCTGCAGTTAAAACTCCAAAGGAAGAGAAGTGTGCCCGTTCTTCCTCTGATCCTTTCCAGCTTTTAACCTCTGGTCAGGTTCAAGTCCGATCTTGTTTGGGACCTAGACCAGTGCTCTTCAAATCATCTGTAGTAAAGAACTTGTGTTTGGATTTTTAAATTTCCAACCTATCAAAGAGCAATATGTGGTCCTACTATGTGTGTTTGGTAACACCCCAAACTGGCCTTTATCTTATTCAACAAAATGATCACATACTTGAATATCTCAATGTCCAAAGACTAAACGCCTTTCTGAATGCAGGCTCTGTTTCTGTACTCATCTCCCCATGGGCCAGCCAGGAACCATTCATGGGTGAGCGTGGGAAGGTGTGAAGAGCATTTGCCCAGTAGGTGACACCCCCTTCTTCAGCAATAATGGCTGCCTCTTCTAAACACCTGCCATGAGCCAGACCCTGTAAACCATTTGTTCCCATTCCTCCATCAACCCTAGACCACAAATACTCAATCTCTATTTCATAGATATAGAAATCTGAGCTCAGAGAATGTAAACAACTTCCCCAAGACAAACAGCTAATTCCTAAGTGGCCAAGCTAGAACTCAAGTCAAACTAGGGGGAAAGCCCAATATCTTTCTACATCATCCCACTGCAGTTCAGCTAAAGGAAGCCCATTTACTGCATCCTGGCAAACCAATCATTGACCTGGTTCATTGCCCTGGTTCCAGGTGCTCCACATCACTTTAAGAGGACCTCTGTGAAGACAGAGGGAGTAGGGATACAACTCTCCCCAACCCCAAATTGCTGGCAAAGATCCTAGAAAATAAGCCTTATTTTTTCTTTCCTTTGAAATACACATTCAGTTCTGGAGTGGAGGGAGAGATAATTTTGATAGGCCCTGGTGGTTTGCCTCTCCACAGATCTGGGAAACCCCCAGTGAATCCTATCAGTGATGGGGGGCGGGGGGCAAGGTCTTACGTCGCTGGCAATCTCCCTGGATGCCCGGGCAGTCTGGAACGGGATGGCATCCAGCCTGAAGTCATAGCCACTGGCCCGGATCTGCTCCCAAGAGTTTCTGTAGGCTTTCTGGAAGGGGAAAACAGAACCGGAGTGAGCACGGAGCACCTCCACTGCTTGCACATTGCTGGTTCCTAAATAGTCCTCTTGGCCTTGTTAGGCCCCGGGATGATGGAGCCCACGGCCCCACGTCTATCCGGGGGCCTCCCAGCTCTGAGACTGCTGGGACTGGCCAAGCAGGGCTTCCTCTCTTTAGAGGCATGCGGTCTGGGGGGTCTGGCTCATTTGCCGCACTCTGTGGGTCTCGGAGGTCCCTGACCCACTCCTTCCTGTCTTGGCGCTCACGGTTGGAGCCTCGGGTTTGCAGCTTCTAGACGCCAGACTCAAAGTTTCAGAACCCAGTTTCTTCCTCTGTGCTGAACGTGCTGTTCCTTAGGTCTTGACAGCCATGCATTTGTTAGCTCCACTGACTTCCTGGGGGCCCCTTGGCCTGGCTTTGATGCCATGTCCCACATCGTCACTCTGAGGCCTGCTGCATCTCACATACACCCCTGGTGCCTGCACGAAGGGAAGAGCCTTCGCCTGAATTACATTTATTGTCAAGCACCTGACCGAGTACCTGACCCATGTGTTTCATATCTTCCTCTTTCATTTTTCCCCCTTTTCAAGTTGTTCCCACACACCCTCTGGGAGTCTGTAATCATATCCTCTCAGTCCTCAGGTAGGCCCACATCACCGAGAGAGGCGTCAAAATCTTCTGTAGCTAATTTTTTTTTTCAAGATAAGGGAATGGCTCCATGAAAGGACTCCTCCGGCGATCCCAGTGGAGGGCTCTCCTTTATTCAGCCACAGAGAAGGGAGACAGCAGGGGAGACACATCACCAACAGATGACAAAGTGACAGCCCCAGACCGCGGCGGTCGCTCGCTCGTTCCATGAGCTACAGCGGGTCAGGAGGCCCTTAAGAACTTTACTTTTGTCACCTGGAAATGGAGGTCAAGGCTGGCGCTCTGTTCCACATGGGGTTGGGGGGATTAAGCCAAGGAGGAGTGGCAGATGAAAAGCAAAGTGCCTCACCCCATCCCGCACCGGGCCTGGAACCAGGGGGACCATGAAGAGCCTGGGTCACGCGTGATGGAACTCGTTTCTTTCTGCCACGGCTCACCATCACCTGCACCTTCACCATCGCCTGCAGCTCCAAGGCGCAGCCCCACAAACCAAAAGCTAAATCCCTACCATGTTCAAGGCCCTGGAAATACAGAACCAATCGCCGCTGGGGTGATCACTTAACAGACAGATCCCCAACAGAGCCAGAATGATGGACTTATGGGGGCACTGTTGAGTTTAGCAGCTGGGACTGAAAGATCTGTAGAAGGAAGGGGATATTCGGGGAGAGACGAAGCACCGATCCCTTTCAGCCTCACTTTGTTTGGGTGGTCCCACCAACATTAGTGCAGCCAACAGAGTCAAAAACTCATTGCTCTCTCCAAGGCCCACACGAGATCTGAGTGCAATCAACGACACCAAACTTGGTGACACCCAACTCAAACAGCACCCCGCGTCGGTGTCCAAGGTACCCCAGCTTCCAAGTCTATGTGACTCAGGATCCACTGGAGCGTGGGGCCCACATTGGGGTTCTCCCCAGGGCGTTGGCTCGCTTTCTCCTGAGACTTCTCCCTGTATACTATTTGCTTGATTGTGATCACTTCCTCCCTGAGGTTTTGTATTCTGTTGAGGTTTTTGCCTTGCCACTGGGAGTCTTTAGATTCCGTCGACTCTTTGATTCGGAACCCCGGGCGCTCCTCTTCTTTATCACAGTGGGCACAGTTTTGTCCTCATCCTCACACATTAGAGTCATTTGATTCTGAGTTATTTCGGCTGCCTTACGCATCTCAGTGGCTTTCTTTGCCCAGGAAGGTCACTTTGCCTCCACATCTTCCTCACAGAGCACTTGATCCAATTGTGCGTATTCCACACGCCCCCCGAAGAAGTCCTCTTCAAAAGAGGTTCATGAGTTCTCATACCTGGATGGCCCGGCAGCTAATTTCAGCTCTGGGACTCTGCAAACTGGCATCCCCTGTGAGAGGCAAGACGCTTCTGTCGCCAGCCCGGGTGGCTGCCCTCCTGACGTTGGGCTCCCGATGGACT